AAAAGGGTCGCCACCCACAGGTTGAGAACGGCTGCTCAAGGCAGAAATGGAGTCAGCTGGATTGATTCTTTTTTACACATAAAGTATCAGGGAAGATAGAAAACACAACATTCCAACAGATAAGCTTCGCAGGAAAGAAAACATTTGCTAGATACTGCTTCTTCTCCTACCTCGCTCCCTTCCCAGGTTCATCTCCTACCCTCTCAACTTGGGATGATACCAATGTTAAAAAAAACTGTTCTGTTCTTTCTCTCTTTCTTCTTCCCTCACAAACCCCAGTTCAAGTATGCATGACATATCTCTTAAGAATCAAGGCAAGCAGAGCCAAATATCAGAGCAGAAAAGAGCAGCCTCTTTTCAGAACCGAGTGGCAGAATCTGAGACATGTGAGGATCTGCATATGCTGCTTCCCTTTCTTTGGTAGAGCGATTGCCCAACAGGGAAACCTGCCAAGTACCAAGCGCCAATCACGTCCAAAGGGATTGATTAATGAGCTCAACCAGGGCATAAAAATGATGCCCTGACTGCAAGGAAAGGAACCAGACAAAGGACATGTTGACGATGTCATTGTTCATAGCAGACATGACATACCCGAGTGATATGGTGGATGTCTCTGTTTCCCTCGTGCAGATGATCGGGTAAAGAACTACCTAGTTAGGACAGGGACACTCACGGTCACAGAGTAGATTTCAACTCAGAGTGACCCTAGAGGGCAGAATAGAACAGCCCCTGTGAGTTTCCAAGGCTGTAAATCTGTGTAGGAGTAGAAACTCCCATCTTTCTTCCTCACAGCGGCTGTTGGGATCAAACTGCTGACCCTGTCATGAGTAGCACAACTTGTAACCCACTACACCAAGAGGGCTGCCGGGTAGATGCACAGTAGGGTTAGAATCCTTCTCAATGGGCCACCCCTGCAGAAAATAACACCACTATTCTGCAAACTACATGACTCTCATCGTCCACTCTCTTCAAGATGGAAAGATACATTGATACATCTCTTGTCACCAGGATTTATGGGATCCCAGAATCTTGGTGGGATGGAAAAGTACTTCTGTGAATTCACGTTATTTCTTTAACCAGAGTTGGAGGCGAAGTGAATCTAAGCACATAGTAACCGAGGGCCGGTACTGAGCATACTAGGGTATAAATGGCACTTATCAGGAAAGCAGAGTTTGGCATTTTGAACTACAAGCCCATGGGAAGGAGCTCACAGTTAGCAAGTTGTAGACAGATGCAAGCAAGGAAACACCTAAGCCCTGCAAATGTGCTATAGCAAATACACCCAGGAAATCCAAGGATCCCCAGTCCCTAGAAGCTCAGTTGTGCACAGGGTCACTATGAGCCAGAACCAGCTGGGCTGTATCTAAAGACCGAAGCTAAAAATGAAGGCAAAATAGCACATACAGCCTTCAGGGTGGATTACACCTGAACATAAAGAAAATGAAAATCATCACAACTGGTCTAATAAAATCATATCATGAGAAATACAGGGGAATAGAAATTTCATTCTACTTGGGTCAACAATTAACACCTATTGAAGCTGCAGTTGAAAAATCAAATGGTGTGCACAGATGGGTCATGGGGAAGAGATGAGCCAGTCAGGGGGCAGTAGAGCACCAATGAAACATAAAACTTTTCTCTAGTTCTTTAATGCCCCCCCACCCCTGTCATGATCCCAATTCTACCTAACAAATCTGGCTGGACCAGAAGATGTACACTGGTACAGATAAGAGCTAGACACACAGGGAATCCAGGACAGATAGACTCCTTAGGACCATTAATGACA